TGTCCATAAATATTCCATGCACGGCACATATGGCCACAAGACCTGGGAGGAAAAGGAACAACAGTCTTGCCATCTTCCTCCTTTGCTGTTTTTGCTTTCGCCCTTTGAGTGGAAGTGGAGACTGACTTCAGTGCTTCCTGTCTTTTATGTGAAAGCCAGACATCTGGGCGAGTCCCCCGCAGCCAATGGGGAGGTGGTTACCCATGCCTCGGCCTTCAAAGCAGTGACTGGGCTCTAGGGGTTATTTAGCATCGGATTTTCTAGAGAGACTCAAACGCTGTGTCTTTTTTTTACACACAAGTGCTATCCAAAATAGTCCACTATTTTAAAAACACTTTTTATTTTATAGTGAAGTATAGCCGATTAACAATTTTGTGATAGCTTCAGGTGGACAACAAGGGGACTTGGTCACACACACATGTATCCCTTCTCCCCAGACTCTTCTCCCATCCAGGCTGCCACATAACATTGAGCAGAGTCCCCTGAGCTATACAGTACATCCTTGTTGGTTGTTCATTCTAAATTCATTCTCGAAGTCTGTAGACCTATATCTGTTTTGTAAATAAGCTCATTTGTATCATTTCTTTTTAGATCCTTCATATAAAGGATGTCATACAATATTTCTCCTTCTCTGACACACTTCACTCAGTATGACAATTCTCCTCCCTCGTCAGAGTCACTTTTGCTGTGGTTTATTGCATCAGGAAGACATTGTTGAAAGAACTATGAGAATCTTAAGTCATTCGAAAAATGTCTTTAGTTGAATCATCATATTCTTTCAATGTATGAGAAGATGTACTAACCATAGAAAACTGTTGAAAATGTGATATATATATCCTTAATACAAATTATTTTGATTAAACATCTAACAACATCTGGATTTATATAATAGATGAGTAGAGGATGCTTACATTGACAAATCATTCATGATGGGATCCTTAGGAGTCATGTATATCGGGTCAGACATGGATTGTAACAAGTTCAAGACCCTAGTAATGGAGGGAGATGGGGTAGGTGGTTTGGGAAAATGGACCTGACTTTTTTCTGCCTCCTGCCTTGGAGATTTTTGAAATTCAGTCTCCAATGTTTATGGCCAGTAGAGAAGGGGGTAAAGCTGGAGGATTGTGTTTCTCCCTGAACCCCACCCCTGCCTGGCCTGCTTCCAGGCATCTTCCCTGTGGGAAGAGGGGCAGTGCCACGAGTCATCAGCTGAAGCGCTAATACTTGCCTCCATGCATTCAACAGCTATTTCCGGAGCACCTGCCACGTGCCAGGTGCTGTTGTAGGCACTAGTGATAGCGTGAGTTTAAAAAGACCCGGTCCCTAGGGTTTACTATCGGGAGAAACACACAATCGGCTGCTGTTTGCTGGAGGGTGTCTGGGGCCACTTCTCTCTCTTAAAGTGCCCCTCCCCCATTATTTCCAGGTTTTTTATTTTTGGCTGCACCATACAGTTTGTGCCATCTTAGTTCCCCGACCAGAGATCAAACCTGCACCCTCAGCAGTGAAAGCCTGGAGTCCCAACCACTGGACTGCCAGGAAATTCCCTAGAAATCATCTTTGAAAGCAGAAGGCCAGTGCGGTTTTCCTTTCTATAATCTAGAGGCCTGAGAGGATCTCGGGGAAAATGAAAGCATCGGTCAAACCCTCGTAATACTGATCCGGCAGCTGTTTCACAGACTGTAACAGTCTCCAGCCAGCCCTTGACACAGGCGAGTTCAAAGACAATTGCCATTTAAGAGGCACTTTCTGGAATGAGGACTACACAAACTCAGCCAGGCCCCCTCAAAGCAGAGTGAAACGTTGAATAAAGCCACCTCTGAGTCACAACTAAGCCAACTAAGCTGAGGCTCAGAAGCCACCGTGGGCCGTTCAAAGGCGAAGAACTAAGAAAAGAGAGATGCCAGCCTCCTGAGGGCCACTTGAGCAGGCCTGGGATGTCCCAGAGTTCTGCAGCAGGAAGAGATGGGGTGGAAACTAGAAGCTTCTCTGTAAAAGTTTACTCACAAATAGGAATTCAAATTACAAAACTCAGCAAGCCATTGTGCCTGGTAGCGCACCACACATTGGGGTCTGATGGGGTGGGGGTAGGGTGGAGCCAGAGGTTCAGAGATGGACTGTGCCCTGAGCTTCCTTCCCTCATTCTTCTGGATTTTCAGATGGACTCTCTGAACCTTTAATCCCCCAAAGACATTTTATTTTTTTCTTTAATTCCTAAATTAGCTTCTCAGTCTGGGGTTCTTAAAATGTAGGCTGTGGCTCCTTTAGGATGCAAAAATAGGCTTGGACAAGTGGATGGGAGGCAGGCAGCCTCCTTGCCATGATGTCCAAGGCCCTGCAGGATTTGTCCACCTCCCTCTGCCCTCTGGAATCACCTTCTGTCACTGTCCCTCCCCGGCTCTGTTCCTGCCACACCAGCCACTGTCTTTTGAAAATGCGAAGCTCACATCTACTTCATGCCTTTTGGGCTTATTGCCTTTTCCTGCGGATACTGGCCTTCAGGCCTCTGATGGTCAAGATGGCTCGACAGACAGACCGGCTTAACAGAGACACTTGCACTCCCCCAACCCGATCTGTCCATCACACGAAACCGTGGACCCTGTCCTAATACGTTTCACTACGTGACTTGGCTTGTTCACTTACTTGGTGGCTGTTTGTCCCCTGATGCCACAGTGAACACTCCACAAGGTGGGGACCTTTTCCATCTTGTCCATTGCTCTACTTTTAGCACCCAGAAAAATACTCGGTATTCATAAATTGGTATTCATTGAAAGCATGCATGATTCCCCCCAAATTGTATGCTTAGGTGTGTACGTGCATGTATACTCTACCCCCCCCCCCACCCCCCGCCCCCGCCCAGGGAAAGTCCCTGGGTTTTATCAGAACTAAACAGAGGTTCAGGCTTCCCTGGTTGCTCAGTGGTAAAGAATCTGCCTTCAATGCAAGAGATGTGGGAAACCTAGTTTCGATCCCTGGGTTGGGAAGATCCCCTGGAGGAGGGCACAGAAACCTACTCCAGTATTCTTTCCTAGAGAATCCTACAGGCAGAGGGGCCTGGCAGGCTGCAGTCCATGGGATTGTAAAGAGTGGGACAGTACTGAAGAGACTTCACACACACACACACACACACACACACACACAGAGGTTCATTGCACCCTTCAAATTAAGACTCATTAACTAAATGATTAGGACAGAGATGCTGGGGTCTTGCTACCAAAACATGGTGCCCAGACTAGCAACTTTAGCATCGTTTTATAAAGTCTCTCAGACCCTACCCCAGACCTGCTAAATTGCAAACTACTTTTTACATGATACAGAAGTGATTTGTATGGACAGTAAAGTTTGAGAGGTGCTGCTTGAGGGCAATCAAATATGGCACAGATTTTTAGCCAGGATTTCACATTCACTATTACGCCTTTGCTGGATTCATTTTCAAGAGACAAAATGCCTATTAAATACCCTAACAGAAAATACTTTAACTAATAAGAACCTACTGTATAGCACAGGAAACTCAATACTCTGTAACGACCTGTGTGGGAAAAGAATCTAAAAGAGTGGATATACATAAAACTGATTCACTTTGCCGTATAGCAGAAACTAACACAACATTGTAAATCAACCATACTCGAATAAAAATTAACTTAAAAAACTTACATCCACACAGAAACCTGCTCAAAAATCCTTTAAGCCTTTAAAATATATATATATATATATATATATATATTTGGCTGTGTTCAGTGTTAGTTGCAGCAGGCAACTTCATTGCGATCTTCATTGCAGCATGTGGGATCTTTAGTCGTGCGTGCAAACGCCGAGTTGCAGCATGTGGAACCTGGTTCCCTGACCAATGACCAAGCCCAGGGTCCCTGCACTGGGAGCGTGGAGCCACTGGGTCACCAGAGAAGCCCCAAGCCTTTACGTTTAAAATGGAGATAGCAGGGGGAGGAGAGGGTGGGACCAACCGAGAGAGCAGCACTGAAATACACACACTACCACGTGTAACGTAGACCGCTGACGGGAAGCCGCTGTGTAGCGCCGAGAGCTCAGCCTGCGGCTCTGTGAAGACCTGGAGGGGAGGGATGGGGGCGGCGGGAGGAAGGTCCAAGAGGGAGGGCGTACATGTATACTTAGGGCTGATTCGTGTTGTTGTATGGTGAAAACCAGTACAACATTGTAAAGCAATTATCCTCCAATTAAAAAAATGGAGATGTGAGCCTCTCACAATAGTTTCCATTTTGACACTATCCTCTATTTATCAATAGACTGCATTTAAATCTAATCATATAACCTACTTCATAAAGGTAGAAATCTACTTTGTTAATTCTTAACATTGACTCATGTTAGAATTACGCAGTGAGCTTGAGAAATATTGACTGGGTTTCACTCCTGGAGGCTGGGATTTAGTTGATGTGGTTGTAGGTTACTGTTGTTGTTAAGTCATGTCTGACTCTTGGGAGTCCAAGGCTGTTGCCTGCCAGGCTCCTCTGTCCACGGGATTTCCCAGGCAAGAATACTGGAGTGGGTTGCTACTTCCTTCTCTAGGAGATCCTCCCCGACCCAGGGATTGAACCCGCACCTCCTACATTGGCAGGCAGATTCTTTACTGCTGAGCCACCTGGGAAACCCAGTTGTAGGTTAGGTCTGAGTATTTGCAAATATCTTGCAGATGATGCAGCCAAAGTTGAAAGTTAAATTCAAGTTGAAAACCACTATATTTAATGATGACAACATCTGCTCTCTTCAGACATTCTGTACAGCTTCCACAGGTGAGTAAGGTAAGGACGGTCAGAAGATCCTAGTTTGACTGAATCATCTTCAAAATACAGCTAATAAATACAGGAAGATTAATGGGCCTGGAGGAGAAGAATAGGTTACAAGTAAGGAGATGGGAAAGGCGAAAATAAACCCGGTGCCACATGGGGTTGCACTCAGAGGTACTGTTGCAAATTCATTAGTGTTTAATATAATTGAGTAGATATATCCATAGACATATAGTTGTGATGAGCTTCCCTAGTGGCTTAGCTGGTAAAGAATCCGCCTGCAATGTGGGAGACATGGGTTCGATCTCTGGGTTGGGAAGATCCCCTGGAGAAGGGATAGGCTACCCACTCCAGTATTCTGGCCTGGAGAATTCCATGGACTTCCCTGGTAGCTCAGACGGTAAAGTGTCTGTGTACAATGTGGGAGACCCGGGGTTCGATCCCTGGGTCGGGAAGATCCCCTGGAGAATGAAATGGCAACCCACTCCAGTACTCTTGCCTGGAAAATCCCATGGACAGAGGAGCCTGGTAGGCTACAGTCCATTGGGTCGCTACGAGTCAGACACGACTGAGTGACTTCACTTCACTTATAGTTGTGATATCTCTATAAAATTAGGATTCTGAAAGGCTTAGGACAGGCTGAAGAACCGACAGGAGACTAAAGAGATGTGACAACTACACTCAACACATGATCCTGGATTTGATTCTTGGGTCATGATTGGGACATCAATAAATCGGATGGATGCCATTTCTTGATGTTGCTGGTCATCTTGGAGTTATGTGAGAGAGTGGTCTTGTACTTAGAAAATACATCCTGAAGGATTAAGGGGTGATGAGCAACTAGGTCCACACACTCTCAGATGGTTCTGCTAGGGTGCAGGAGGGCTCCCCAGGTAAGCCACAATGGTATAGTGATTAGTTTGAATTAGTTACTTAAAACACAACCAGCAAGAGTGACACTCTGACCCTCATTTCTGTCCCCCAGAAAGCAGAAAATAAATCTCTCATGAGAAAGGTGTACCATCCAGGGGTAAGACACCCTTTTCACCAGAGAGAGGGAATTCAGGTCAAGAAACGTGTATAAACCTTATTCTTGAATTTACTACCAGGGACAAACTGCTTAGATTCCTCACTATTTGAGCACCCAAGACCCAAGTTTCTTTGCCCTGTCAATTCTCTCTACTTTATTGTTTCTTTAAAAGGTATAAAAGTTGCCTGCTTTGAATTTTTTAATAGCTGAAGTTACAAAGGTAATGTTAAGACATAAATATTATATACAATTTGTTGAAAAACCAAGAAGAGAAAATACTATGGATCATCTGTAAAGTAATACAATGATTTCTGAGGCTGACTTAAAGTTGCCAAAATTAAATTTAGCATTTGCCACTAATTTAAGACAAATACTGTAATTTATTTTTTAAAAAAATGAAAAAATAAAAAAGTTTGCTTTGGCCACTATTTAGGTTCTCACTTCTCTGGGACCTCTGTGCACATGAATTAACATTTGTATTTTCTCCTGTTAATCTGTTTTGTGTCAATTTTATTATTAGTCCAGCTAGAAGAATTCAGGAGGGGTGGCTGGGAAATTTTCCCTTCTTGACAGTTCAAAAACATTTATGGGAGTTCTGTCTACTTTTTTGGCTACTTTCATATAAATTGGAATTTTTTTTCAAAATAAAGTTTTCAAAAGTAATCAGATGTCACTTCTCTGCTTGAACTCTTCTCACGGAACTTATGTCCCACACAGACTTGCATGTGGATGTTCAGAGTCACTTTATTCACAATGGTCCTAAACTGGAAAGAACTCAAAATGCCCATCCACTTGCAGAACAAACTGCTGATCCACACAATAGAGATAAACCTCAAAAGCATTCTAGGGGACTCCCTTGGAGATGCAGTAGGCGGGAATCCACCTGCTGATGCGGGGGCACAGGTTCGATCCCTGGTCTGGGAGGATTCCACATGCAGAGGAGCACCTTAGCCCATGTGCCACAACTCCTGAAGCCCGTGGGCCTAGAGCCTGTGCTCAAGAGAAGCCACCACAATGGAAGCCTGGCGCACCGCAACCAGGAGGAGCCCCCACTCGCCACAACCAGAGAAAGCCCATGCGCGGCAACCAAGATCCAGCACAACTAAAAAGAATAGCAATGATAATAATAATAATAAAAAAAACATTCTACGAACTTCCTTGGTGGTTCAGGGTTTAAGACTTCACACTTCCACTGCAGGGGGTGGGGTTCAATCCTTGGTGAGGCAACTAGGATCCCACGTGCTGCCCAGTGAGGCCAAAAAGTTAAATAAAAGCATTCCAGACAGGGCACAGTTGCTGCGATAGAAAGCAGATGAGTGGTTGCCTAGAGTTGGGATGGGGACACTGACTGCAAAGGAGCACAAGGGAGCCCCTTCTCTGAGGCATGACGGAATGCTCTGTATCTTGATTATGACCTTCGAACAGCTGTATACAACTGCCAAAACTCACCAAATACTAACATGGGTGAACGCTATCACTGTAACTCAGTATACAAAATCCTCTAACTGTTCCGCATTTTGGAGTTTAAGCATGCCCTTAAAATGGCCTACACAATCCCCTTTTCCATCCACCCTCTCCTTCCCTCTGACACCAACCACTGTGGCCAACCTTCCCTTGAACAGCCACTCAGAGCAGGGCCAGTCTGTGTTCTGAGACTAAGTACAGTTACCAAGAGCAAGCAGGAAGAAAATGTACTAGCAACTGGGACTGCTGTCAACATACAAGAGCAGTCTTTTTTCGAGAAGCTCACTGTTAATAATATCACTTGACAACTAAGAAGTTATTAGCAAGAGTCAAGACTCTGCAAGTGGTGAAGTTTAAGGAATAAAAACTATTTTGCTTTTTCCTTATGTACACATGTGGTAAAAATCTACAGAAGCCTAAAAGTGGTCTTAACATATATTCCACAAATACATTTAAAAAAAATCTAAATGATAAGAAGTCTTGTTTCAGAAAATATTAAAACAGGAACACAAAGTGACCAGTAGTGTCACTTTTACCATGTGCTATACATAAAAAATTGTCCACTTCTAAAGACACCCATGGTTTTGCTAGCAGGGGATTGAACTGATAGCCTTAAGTAGAAATCAAACACTACAGAAAATGAACTTTGGAAATACTTGAGTATTGGTGTTTAAGAAGCACAATGAGGCAGCAAGTTTAGGATTGGCAACCGTTGGTTTAGACTGCTAGTCTTCAAAAAGATTAAACATCTTTCCTTTGGAGATCATTCAATCAAGAGGTATTAACTGAGTAGGTATTCCTTAGGAAACACCCTATCTCAAGAGGGTAAGAGCACAAGATGTGAAGTCTGAAGACAATATTCACTTTTTCTCCATTTTCCCAGAAAACATTTAATATAGTTACTCTTAAATGGTCTTTATTAAAGTAAAAAATGAATGAAAAGATTTGTGAAATGCCTATGACTGGCTCATTTGACTCTGAAGATGAAATTCAGATCCTGTCCAGGTCTCATTTTCTTCTAATATGCAGGATGATCATCATTACTTTTAGTACAAGAGTAACAAAGGGACTTCCCTGATGGCGCGGAGGCTAAGACTCTGTGCTCCCGAAGCAGCAGGGCCCGGGCTCGATTCATTCTCAGGGAACTAGATCCTACATGCCACAACCAAAGATCCCACATGCTGCTAAGACTCACTGCAGCCAAGTAAATACATACATGAATGAATAAATATTAAACAAACACAAAAAACTGGGCTCCAGGATGGCAGTTCATATGCATAAAAAATAACAGAAAATCTAATCAAGTGCTTGATCTAATTCTTTTACTTCTATTAAAGTGTCTCTACCATTAAAGTTTCTCTAGCATTAGCTGCTCCAAGATAACACTAGAAAAGTATCCCATTACAGATTTATATACCTTAAGATGTGTCCTCGACTAGCACCAGCATTTGATGACAGGGCAGTGGGCCAATAAACGAAATACTAGGTAAGGAATACAAATAAAAATTTTATTGTACAAAATTAAGGCCTTCACGGTTCACTAAGGCTAAACAGAGACTAGATAACCTTTTAAATCCTTTACAAAAAGTTCACATACACTTCCCCTTTCCCAACTATTAAAATGAACTGACCAAATGTTATCAAAACGAAAGCTATAAATAACACTGAGTCCTTTAAAGATAGCTATCCCAAATGTTATTTTTTGGCATAGGTGATCTTCATGGCATGGGACGGTGTGATCTTAAATCCCTGCAGAGCATCCCTGGCAGCTCCAGCCTGTCCATCATTTTCAAATTCAACAAAAGCGATATCATGCCTCCCAGGTACCAAACGTACTTCCTTGAAGCCAGGGAACCTATAATGAATTAAAACAATGCTTATATATGTAAACAATTTCTATATATGCAAATATAGAAATGACATCAAATACAAAATGTCTATTCTGTATTTAAATTTGTTAAGCAACATCATGATATACATCCAGGAAAATGATCACATCCCACCAAGAATCCTGAGTGGGATGGAAGAGCCTGAAATATAATTAATACATGAAAAGAACTGCAGGAATCATGTAAGCTAATTCTATTTCTGTCACTTCATCAAAGCTTTTGTCTCCTATTTTACTTATCAACTAGAATTAGTAATTCAAATGTTAGAGGTAATTTAGCTTTTTATTTGCTTAATCTGCATACTGGTTTAAATTCATGATTAATCCTGGAGCAAATCAATGAAGCCATAAGGAATTATTGTGTGATATACAAATGGATTCAACCCAGGGAAGTGCTATCTGTCCTGTCAGGAGGCTCTCAGAACACAGACTTGTTTATGAAAACACTTACTGATTAAACAGCATGGATAGCATCATCTCATTAGTCTCTTCTGGTAAATTATTAAGGAATAAAATATAGTTTGGAGGGTAATCAGGGACCTATTAAAAAGAAAAGGCCAAGTTAACTTATAAGTATAAAAAGTACAGTAAGCCATTTTGTTTCTTACATTTAAATATAAACTTCAGAGAATTACATTCCACAGTTTAAGGCTTATGAAATCTTACCACATCAAGCACTAAAGGTGAAAAACAGTGACACCAGAGAAGTAAACAAAACCTAACAGAAATTAAGATTATAAATATTATTAACAGTTTTAAAGTATTTAATTAATAGTATTTAAATAATATTTAAGTTTTAAGCATCTGGAGGCAGCTGGAATAGAAGGGTTTTGTCATCTGGATTACATAACTTGTCCTAACAAAATCAGAGACGGCATTGGTGTCACCCGTCCTCAGCTGCTTAACCCTCAGATACTCAATCCTACTGCATACTATCTCCCAGTGTGTGAGAAAATTTTGAAAAATAAAGATTTCCACTTAGTGCTACAACTATGGAGCCCATGCTCTGCAACGAGAAGCCCGCACACCGCAGCTTGAGAATACCCCCACTCACCACAACTAGAGAAAGTTTGTGCATAGCAATGGAGACCCAATGTAGCCAATAAATAAATTAAAAAGCAAAATTAAAAAAGAGAAAGAGAAAGATTTCCGTGTAGAATCTATATTTGGCGATTTTTAATGTTTTTTACAAGTAAATGAGAATAAATTTCATGGGAGAAAGAAGATGAAATGTAAAGAACTTAGGGCTTAGAGAATTATGTGCTGGACTATTAACTGCTGAAAGACTTCAAAGTAGTAGAAAATGCAAGTAACTTAAAATCAGAGGAGGAAAACCTCAGTGGTGCAAGGAATTCCCTGGATGTAAGGATCCTGTCAGACCCTAATATGTAAGGACCAAGTGGGAAACTATTAGTGTATAACTCAAGCTTTCTGAGGCCTTTACTGGGAAGATTTGGTAGAGTTTCCTGATAAATCTATATTGTGCTAAGTTGCTTCAGTTGTGTTCGACTCTGTGCCCACATGGACTATAGCCACCAGGGTCCTCGGCCCATGGAATTCTCCAGGCAAGAATACTGGAGTGGTTGGCCATTTCCCCCTCCAGGGGATCTTCCCAATCCTGGGATTGAACCCAAGTCTCCCTGTGCAGTTCCTGCACTGCAGGCGGATTCTATACCGTGGAGTCACTGGGTAAAGATCTGTATCAGGAGACTTAAATATATATATACTGAGGAAATAAGAACAAAGGTAACTATAGAACAACTTTGCTCTTTGAGAAAAGATGGGTTAGTGCTTCAGTCAATGGGAATGGATTCCAAGCAACAAGCCTGGAAAGCTCTGGGCCACATCATGTGAAGAAAACAACCATTCTGCTTCTTGTCTTTATAGAGCTTAGAATATATCATTTAATCCTGTCATTGCTCACTGTGGGAAGCAAGGAGTAAAGTCAGGTTTTGTTTTCTTCTTCTTAAAGAAAAATAAAATGTTTTGAGGAAGAAGGTTCCACATTATTGTGGCTTATAGATGGAATCATTTTCAGTTTTTGGAGACATGAGGGTTGTTGTACATTACTGCTATTGTTTTGTAATTTTATTTTAAAGTAAGTATCACATGGGAAAAAAATTACCTGAGGATTCTGTGTTGCATTTCCTTGAGTATTAGCTGAATTTGGTGTTCCCTAAATGGAAAAAAGTGAGAAACAGTTAAAACTTCCAATCCCTCTAAAAAAGTAGCAAGTAATTACTGAACTAAAAATAAGATTAACATAGATTTTTTAATTCATTTTATTTTCTTTGCGAATTTACATCTTAAAACTCTGACTCAAACATTTATGGTATTTATAACTTGTCAAATATTTTTGAAAGGTCTATATCATAAAAGTCAACCTAAGTTTCAAAATTACGGAGAAATATATAGGAGAAAAATTAAGGACCAGCCTTTCTCACTTTTCTTTTTTTAAACCAACTAGAAAAAAAAAAATCAAGCATTATACTTATTAAAATTGATTTCTAATTACTTTCAATCTGAAAGTAACTAGTTTTTGGATGACAATTTCACCTTTATCTGGAATTTTTTAATTAGATTTTGAATTTATGAGCTGTTCAAAGGCTGATTTCAGTGGAATACTAATAAAGATAAAATCTACAGTATTATTTATACACAGAACTTGAAAAATAAGCCAATAGATATTAACGTATTTTGGAAAATGATGGAGTTAAACATCATGCAAATTCAAATAAAACTGTCTGATATACAACAACAAAATATGAACTTTTGCCCATCTTACCTGACCAGGCTTTTTGTTCACAGTTGTTGCAGTCTGTTCCACAGTTTTGGCTTTCTTCTTTTCTTTTTTCTTTTCTTTGTCAGCAAAAGTGCCACGCATTTTAGATATTATATCAGAATCTGTTTTGGCGTACTGGATTCGCTGTTTTAATTATTTAAAAACAAGTTACTTTTCATTATGCTGAAGGCTATTTACACTTGTAATTAATATTTCAAATTTCATTACACAAATATGAGCTAATTTTAAACACATCCTGAAGGAAATCTGTCAAGTATACTGAGTGCCAAAAGAAAATAAATTGTGGCCCCTGATTCGCAACTGAGACAAAGTTAGATTCAACTATGCTTATTAGAAGAACCACAGATTTTCACACAGGAGAAACAGGACTTTGAAAAATCTGCACCACTGACCCTCTCCATTAAAAGACAGAGGAGAGTGCGCTGGAAAGCTGTGTATGCCTTACAGGGACACTCGCCAGGTCAAGATGTGCATGGACTTTGCTACAAGTTAAAGTACTGAAGACTGAGAATGACTTTCCTTTGACTCTGGACTATTACTTTTATTTTATTTGTTTATTTATTTTTTGGACTATTACTTTTAAATGAAATCATGAATAGTGGCATCAACTTAAATTTAAAAAGCTTTGAAGGAAATAATAAGATGGCATCACACTGTGCAACCAGGCCACCTGCATGAATAATGCGCCACAGGCAGTGTAAAACTTTTCTTTCCTGGGGTCCAGAAAGCTGAAACTACCTCTCTGATCATATCAAAACACCAGTTCTACCAATTCCTCTCTACAGTTGTCTTCTATGGCAAGACTTTGACCTCAGTGTGAAGAGACCAAGTGACACCTTACAATAATGCAGGTTTGCTCAGGGAACTCCACTCAGTGCTGTGACCTAACTGGGAGGGAAATCCAAAAAGCGCAGATGTATGTATACATCCGCAGGGCTGGGTCACTTTTCTGTACAGTAGAAACCAACACAACACTGCAAAGCAACTGTACTCCAACAGAAATTAATTTTAAAAAATAATGAAGGTTTGAAAACAAAGAAATTGTTAAAGCCAACAGCAGCTCTTTCCCTTCCTTTATGTTAACTAGAGATGACTACACGGGGGGAAACAAGAGAGCAAGCCTCTCACGACATCTCCATCCCTTCAGTCAGTCAGTTCAGTCGCTCAGTCGTGTCCGACTCTTTGCGACCCCATGGACTGCAGCACGCCAGGCCTCCCTGTCCATCACCAACTACTGGAACTTACTCAAACTCATGTCCATTGAATCGGTGATGCCACCCAACCATCTCATCTTCTGTCATACCCTTCTCCTCCCGCCTTCAATCTTTCCCAGCATCAGGGTCTTTTCAAATGAGTCAGTTCTTTGCATCAGGTGGACAAGTATTGGAGTTTCAGCGTCAGCATCAGTCCTTCCAATGAATATTCAGTCCTTTAGGATGGACTGGTTGGATATCCCTGCAATCCAAGAGATTCTCAAGAGTCTTTTCCAACACCACAGTTCAAAAGCATCAATTCTTCGGTGCTCAGCTTCCTTTATAGTCCAACTCTCACATCCATACATGACTACTGGGAAAACCATAGCTTTGACTAGACAGACCTTTGTTGGCAAAGTAATGTCTCTGCTTTCTAATATGCTGTGTAGGTTGGTCATAACTTTTCTTCCAAAGAGAAAGCGTCTTTTAATTTCATGGCTACAGTCACCATCTGCAGTGATTTTGGAGCCCCCCAAAATAAAGTCTGTCACTGTTTCCCATCTATTTGGCATGAAGTGATGGGACTGGATGCCATGATCTTAGCTTTTTGAATGTTCAGTTTTAAGCCAGCTTTTTCACTCCCTTCTTTTGCTTTCATCAAGAGGCTCTTTAGTTCTTTGCTTTCTGCCATAAAGGTGGTGTCATCTGCATATCTGAAGTTATTGATATTTCTTTTGGCAATACTGATTCCAGCTTGTGCTTCATCCAGCTCAGGGGTTCTCATGATGTACTCTGCATGTAAGTTAAATAAGCAGGGTGACAATATACAGCCTTGACATAATTCTTTTCCTATTTGGAACCAGTCTGTTGTTCCATGTCCAGTTCTAACTGTTGTTTCCTGACCTGTATACAGATTTCTCAAAAGGCAGGTCAGGAGGTCTGGTATTCCCATCTCTTTAAGACTTTCCCACAGTTTACTGTGATCCACACAGTGAAAGGCTTTGGTGTAGTCAAGAAAGCAAAAGCAGATGTTTTTCTGGAACTCTCTTGCTTTTATGATGACCCAAAAGATGTTGGCAATTTGATTTCTGGTTCCCCTGCCTTTTCTAAATCCAGCTTGAATATCTGGAAGTTCACGGTTCACGTACTGTTGAAGCCTGGCTTGCAGAATTTTGAGCAGTACTTTACTAGTGTGTGAGACAAGTGCAATTGTGGGTAGTTTCAGCATTCTTTGGCACTGCCTTTATTTGGGATTGGAATGAAAAATGACCTCTTCCAGTCCTGTGGCCACTGCTGAGTTTTCCAAATTTGCTGGCATACTGAGTGCAGCACTTTCACAGCATCATCTTTTAGGATTTGAAATAGCTCAACTGGAATTCCATGACCCTCACTAGCTTTGTTTGTAGTGATGTTTCCTAAGGCCCCCTTGACTTCATATTCCAGGATGCATGGCTCTAGATGAGTAATCACAACATTGTGATTATCTGGATCGTGAAGATCTTTTGTGTAGAGTTCTTTGGGGTAGTCTTGCCACACTTCTTAATATCTTCTGCTTCTCTTAGGTCCATACCATTTCTGTCCTTTATTGTGCCCATCCTTGCATGAAATGTTCCCTTGGTATCTCTAATTTTCTTGAAGAGATTTCGAGTCTTTCCCATTCTATTGTTTTCCTCTATTTCTTTGCATTGATCACCGAAGAAGGCTTTCTTATCTCTCCTTGGTATTCTTGGGAACTCTGCATTCAAATGGGTATATCTTTCCTTTTCTCCCCTGCCTTTCACTTCTCTTCTACTCACAGCTATTTGTAAGGTGTCCTCAACCATTCTGTCTTTTTGCATTTCTTTTTCTTGGGAATGGTCTTGATCCCTGTCTCCTGTACAATGTCACGAACCTCCATCCATTGTTCTACAGGCACTCTATCAGATCTAATCCCTTAAATCTATTTCTCACTTTCACTGTATAATCATAAGGGATTTGATTTAGGTCATACCTGAATGGTCTGGTGGTTTTCCCTACTTTCTTCAATTGAAGTCTGAATTTGGCAGTAAGGAGTTCATGATCTGAACCACAGTTAGTTCCCAGTCTTGTTTTTGCTGACTGTATAGAGCTTCTCCATCTTTGGCTGCAAAGAATATAATCAATCTGATTTCGGTATTGATCATCTGGTGATGTCCATGTGTAGAGTCTCCTCTTGTATTGTTGGAAGAGGGTATTTGCTATAACCAGTGCATTCTCTTGGCAAAACTCTGTTAGGATTTGCCCTGCTTCATTCTGTACTCCAAAGCCAAATCTGCCTGTTACTCCAGGTGTTTCCTGACTTCCTACTTTTGCATTCCAGTCCCCTATAATGAAAAGGACATCTTTTTGGGGTGTTAGTTCTAGAAGGTCTTGTAAGTCTTCACAGAACCGTTCAACTTCAGCTTCTTCAGCATTACTAGTCAGGCCATTACAATGGTCATCTGAGTTAAATTCACCCATTCCAGTCCATTTTAGTTCGCTGATTCCTAAAATGTTGACGTTCACTCTTGCCATCTCCTGTTTGACCATTTCCCATTTGTTTTAATTCATGGACTTAATATTTCAGGTTCCTATGCAATATTGCTCTTTACGGCATCAGACTTTACTTCCATCACCAGTCACATTCACAATTGGGTATTGTTTTTGCTTTGACTTTGTCTCTTCACTCTTTCTGGAGTTATTTTTCCATTGATCTCCAGTAGTATACTGGGCACCTACTAACCTGAGGAATTCATCTTTCAGTGTCCTATCTTTTTGCCTTTTCATACTCCATCCCTTAGGCTTCCTCTGATTGCAGGACTTCCTCTAAGTGTTAACCCTGCCAGCAACTCTGCTAGTCTCACACATCATCTAACCAAAAGGAGCAGGTTTGTATTAACTCTTGACTCGGTCCAGGGATTCTCTCCCAACTCCCCTGGGTCTTCAACCTTCTTCCTGACCTGAGAAGATCTTGGGTTGATCCTATACTTGCCCCTATGGCCTGTGAAAATCTCTCACCCCAGCCCTCTCTCTTAGCTGGCTGGTCTAGAGCAGCAGTTCTCAACCTAAGGAGAATCTGCCCACCAGGACACAACTGGCACTGCTGGTTGGAGACACTGCATCGTCACGCTAAGTGGGCAGAGGCCAGAGATGCTGTTAAACACTCTCTGATGAACCAGAAAGCCCAAACCATAAAAAAAATGTTATTCAGTTCAAAATGTCAAAAGTGCCAGTGTTGAAAAACAGTAGACTAAATACTGATGAGGGATAAAAATTCACCCGCAGCTTAGAGAAGGTGCAAGATTTACATTTATACCAGAGGTTTCATGAAAGACACCCTTAGGAAGGTGGTTTCACTTTTCTGAGGTATTTTTGGAATTAAAGAGCCAAATGTCCTTGAATCACAGATAATAATTTTGTTCTGAGTTCCAAGTTGTAGACAATTTTGTTCACTTTTGATCTGGTATGTTGGCATTAAAATAGAAGAGCAACTGGAACCACCTAAGTAAATATAAACAAGATAGCTCAAGGAACATTCTTTTCCCTCTTCCAGGATGCTGGAGATTTGGCAGTACCTCCTACTTTGCTGAAGGCAGAGAAGAGACCTCCTAAAATACCTCCAATATGAGATCAGTCTAATGGGCTTCTCCCTTTGATTTTCAGTAACTAGCTGGCAAGGTGAAGCCAGTGCCAAATGCAGCAAACAATTTCCAGCTTTCCGGGACTTCAATCCCAGGCATATGCAAACGTGTCATCTCAACTTAACAAATAGTTCTAAAACCCTTTATGGGAATAAATGGCTTCTTCATACTAACATAATTTCAGATTTAAACTAAAACCCAGTCTTATGCTACTACCAGCTGAGATCTCAATTATGCTAGTTCTTCATGCTACTGAGAAAGATACACTGGTTTCAGGAAATGCCAATTTACCGTAAGTTGGGGTAGATAGATAGGTTCAGTTTTTCTGGAATACGACTTTCCAAACATACGATGGTGGGAAACAGTCAGGTGGGAAATGATGGGGAAAGGAGAGTCGGAGAGAGGATGGGCAGAAAATGTGTGGCAGTTTAACAGACAAAAAGTGCTCAGTCCTGAATTAAACAGTGCAGGACCGACGAGGTCCTTGGAGTGCTGACTATGCCAACACTGCCTGGTATTGTGTGTGTCTTCTTAGGACACAGATACACCCTTCCATCTGCATGCCTGCTATGGCTGCTTCTCCAACTATAAAGGCAGTTTAAGGATCTGCAAAAGAGATCATCTGGCTTGTAAAGCCTAAAATATTTACTATCTGGCCCTTTACAGATCAGATTCCTATCCTAATTGAGGGGGGAAAAAGTCACAATATTGGATGTCAGCAGATTAGCTTTCAAGTCCTGAAGATGCCACTGGTTACAGTAACATAAGCTTTCTGTGCCTGATTCTTAATTTGTAAAAAGAGATCACAGCGGTGACCTACACTACAGATTATGGGCCAAACCCAGCCCATGGCCCCTTTTTGTATGGCCTATGAGTTAAGAACTTTTTTCCTTCTTTTTACAATTTTTAAAGGATTATTTAAAAAACCACACACACACACACACAAGAATATGCAATAAAAACTCTATGTGGTCCACAAAGCTTATAATATTATCTGGTCTTTTATAAAAGAGTTTTTGCTTGCCTGTAAATTTGACCAAAGAATATTCAGTCTGCTTATTCGTTTTTGTTGTTTTTTTACAGGTGGTGAAATGGAACATGCACAAAAAGTCAATTAATGGCAGAACCAGAATGAGAACATGGGACCCTGAAACTCTTGGCCTCGGCTCTTTCCCCAGCACCCCTTCCCATCAACATTCCAGTTCCAGAAGAAAAGTACTAAAGTCCATACCCAAGGTAGAATGTACCCATTCAAAGACCAAGAGATTATATACTCTGTCTCCAGCCTGATCCAATCCTCTACCATCTCTGACTTATACCAATGCCTCCTGAGTTCCCTACTTCCCTGCCCACAATTCAACTTTGACCTAGCAGCTAAATGTGAAATCTCAGGTCATTCCTGAGTTTAAAACTGTTCTTAGATCAGTGCTTTGACTGCATAGCTTCTAAAGTACAGTATTTCACTATGGTATTTTCTGAAACTTCGGACTGGATTTCCTCTTTGACTCATGATTTTGGTTTTGTGTTGTTTTACAAATTTACAAACAGAGGTTTCTTTTTAATCTTCTGAGTAATTTATTTCTAGTTCTCAGTTCTTTTGAGGTGACAGTATTGCCTATACTGCCATTGTTCTTAAAATATTCTACATCTCTGTGTATTTTGCTTTTGCCTATCTGAACTATCACAACTCAAGAAATGAATATAATAAACTCTACTACTAATGTGTTTCTATAAAAATAAATACATAAATAAACTCCAACCCACTACACAGAAGGCACAAAGAAATAGCCACACTGTCAAGGGTCTATTTACAAATCTACCATACCATTAATAGTGATTAAAGCCAAAATAAGACTGATTTACCATTGGTTTGCCATAAAATGGAAATCCTTGTAACTGTCTCAAGGCATTTGTAGATGAGCCCAGTTCCTTAAATATAACAAAGGCTTGTCCCCTCATCTTCATGGTCTTCAAAGCAACGATATCTACCACGTGGCCAAACTGAGAAAACAGGGCATACAGGGATCTCTTCAATTCTGCACAAAATTAGACAGGAAACAAGTTATTTGTGGATGAAACTATAACTGAAATTCTTTTTTTTTTTTTTTCATTTATTTTTATTAGTTGGAGGCTAATTACTTCACAACATTGCAGTGGGTTTTGTCATACATTGACATCAATAAGCCATGAAGTTACATGTATTCCCCATCCCGATCCCCCCTCCCACCTCCCTCTCCACCCGATTCCTCTGGGTCTTCCCAGTGCACCAGGCCCAAGCACTTGTCTCATGCATCCCACCTGGGCTGGTGATCTGTTTCACTATAGATAATATACATGCTGAATTCTCTCCAAACATCTTCTTAAAATGACACTGCACTGAGTGCACCCCACTCATTTATTTATACAAAGTTACATATTTTCCTAATAACATACTATTCCCAATGGCTGTTTAATTTTAAAAGTTTCTGAAACCATTTCATCTGAGTGAAAACAGATTCAACACATCTTCAGCCCCTACCTATTTTGAATCTTTGAAAAGTCTTAAAGTCTTTACACAATAAGGAATAAACCATTATCTCAAGCAGTGAGAAAGATGACTAGATGAGAACTTTTGAAGCTGTATAATTTTTAAGATGGTAGTAAATAAACACACTTTAGTTTTTTTTTTTTTTAAAAAAACACTTACCTTCCTTTTTAATTTTGTCATTCATATTGTTGATATAAATTGTGTGATTTGGTCTGATATCCATGTTTTGGGTTAAACTGTTCCAACAGCCTAAAGAGACAATAAATATTCTGTTACTTAATAGGGAGGATTCGTTCACATTATAGGGTGGCATTAAGGACACAGCACAAAGGTACTGACTTTTCAACTGTTTCAACCCCAAATGTCAGTTTGAAAACTGAAAATATCAGTTTGGCAGTAGTCTTTAAAACCTCTCCAAAACTTGCTAGCCCTCCTTTTTAAACAAAAGAACAGTTCTCAAGCTGAAAACTTGGTGGCGCACCATTATCTAGCCAATTTTTAATAATATAATTTTATTCCATACATTTATTTTTATAACCTATTTTTCTTATGACAAGTGAGACTGTTTTTTCCATCTGCCTAATGAAAACAACTTTCCTTTTTAAACAGTATTTAAAAATTGAATAGATTTGGTGAAAAATGAAAAAAACAAGCTAACAAATGCACGTTCAGTAAAAATCATAAGACATAGAACATTAATGAGTTTGCCAAGAACCCTTTCATGGGTACTCTCATAAAGCACTTCCATGTTATTAATTTATATACACCATCACCAACAGTCCGGACTCAAAGTCAAATCGAACGTACTTGAAACGCTGGCATACTACTGCATGATGGTTAAGAACTCAGATTCCAGTGCCAGTGGATCTGAATTCAAATCTTTCCATGCTTCTTACTAGCTGCTTGACTGATGGCAAGTACCTTAATCTCACAGGTTCACATCTGTAAAATGGGGATGGTAATTTGCCCAACAGAGCTCGGAAGACTAAATGAGATAAAATTCTTTGCAGCTTTAGATGAGCAGTAAGCACTTAGAAGAGCTGTCACTGCTGTCTATTACAGAATAAAGCAGGGATTCCCAGGTGGCTCAGAGGTAAAGCATCAGCCTGTCAACGCAGGAGACTCCGGCCCAAACCACGGGTCAGGAAGATCCCCTGAAGAAGAAAATGGCAACCCACTCCAGTATTCTTGCCTGGGAAATCCCATGGATAGAGGAGCCTGGCGGACTATAGTCCATGGGGTCGCAAAGAGTGGAACATGATTTAGTGACGAAACAAGAAGAAATTAATGCAAGTTGCCCACGGTTTACATAGGTGATACGCAGAAGGCCTGAAAATTCAACCCTTGTTTTCTGTCTCTTGCACTTTTCTTTCACACCCACCACACTATTTCATTTTTCCCACTGTTTTAGTCGCTAATTGGGACCATGCTTTATTTCCTTCGTGGCCCACACAGTCCTTCATTTCACGAACATTTACACTCATAGTACGTGCACAGATTAGGATGTCTGACAAGCAAAACGCCGACAGACGAGGACTGTCCTCGTGCGGGTTGACACGTGAAAGGTAACGCTTCTCAGATTTGAGACCCCCTAAACTGAAACTTGGTGGACTGGTGACTCGAAGATAATGAAGAGAAGAAAGTGACAGGGATCAAACTGAGCAGGGACACCGGGAATCGCCTTCCGGATGCAAAAGGGGAGCCTCTGGGAGGCCCCTGAGGACCCACAGCGCGCTGTAAAAGCCTCGCATCCGTAACTTGACACGCAGCAACATCCGCCTACGGCCTCCGCCCGAAGCCCTAGGAAGCGGCCACGCCATGCCCGGCCCCGACTTGTCCCGCCTAAGACAAGCTAAGTCCAGGGGCCTCGCCAGACAAGCTAAGTCCAGAGGCCTCGCCAGACCCGAGCGTCAGTTTCCAAGCCTTCCTCAGCGACCCACCACAAACCCTCGGCTGCATACATTCTGGCCCCAGCGCCGCGGACCGCTTATTCTCGGCTTCCGCAGGAGGTTTGGCTAAGCCGCAACCCGCAGCCAGAAGAGGGGAGAGAGCGATGAAAAAACCCCGCCAACTCACCGAACAAGTCCACCTCCTCCCGTAAGAACCACAAAGCAGAAGCCGGAAGCCGAATCAGTCACCGGAAATGACGTTCAAAGCGCCTCAATCGAAAGCCGATCAGTCAAGAAGCCGAGCCCAGAGTAGATCGATGCCCGTCGATCTAGATTGCAGTAAGTAATCGCTCTGAGCATGCGCACACCTGGTGGGCGGGGAGAACAGGTGTGAAGGGGAAACGGGGTAAGGGAAAGAGCTTTGGGGGACTTCTGTGGGTTTAACTCGAATTCTGGGGGAGCGCAGTAAGAGTATAAGGATAGACGGTGATCAGTTCCGTCACCATGAGTTTGCGCTGTTCAACACAGAACATCCTGATAACACATTTGTGGGCTTCCCTAGTGGTTCAGACGGTAAAGAATCAGCCTGCAATGCGGGAGACCTGGGTTCGATCCCTGGTTTGGGAAGATCCCCTGGAGGAGAGGGCATGACAGCCCACCCCGGTATTCTTGCCTGTGAAATCCCATGGACCGGGGAGCGTGGTGGCCTGCACTCTGATGGTACAGTTGGACATGATTGGACACGACAGACACATCTGTAAGTTGAAGGCACTGTAAGATGCAAATGCGAACACATGTAATAACACCTAACCTACCCAGCATCACACATTTAATCCAGACCTATCACAAACGTGCTCAGAACACTCACATTAGCCTTTTTATTGTTCAGTCGCTCAGTCGTGTCCAACTTTTTGCAACCCCATGGACTGCAGCACACCAGGCTTCCCTGTCCTACAACATCTCCTGGAGCTTGCTCAAACTCATGTCCATTGAGTTGGTGATGCCATTCAACGATGGCATCCCCTTCGCCTCCTGCCTTCAATCTTTCCCAGCATCAGGGTTTTTCCTAATGAGTCAGTACTTCACATCAGGTGACCACAGTATTGGAACTTCAGCTTCAGCATCAATCCTTCCAATAGATATTCAGGACTGATGTCCTTTAAGATTGACTGGTTGGATCTCCTTGCAGTCCAAGGGACTCTCAAGAGTCTTCTCCAATACCACAGTTCAAAAGCATCAATCCTTCGGTGCTCAGCCTTCTTTATGGTCCAAATCTCACATCCATACATGACTACTGGAAAAACCATAGTTTTGACTAGATGGACCTTTGTTAGCAAAGTAATGTCTCTGCTTTTTAATATCCTGTCTAGGTTGGTCATAGCTTTTCTTTCAGGGAGCAAGCGTCTTTTAATTTCATGGCTTCAGTCACCATGGGCAGTGATTTTGGAGCCCAAGAAAATAGTCTCTCATTGTTTCCATGTTCCCCCATCTGTTTGCCATGAAGTGATGGTACTGGATTCCAAGACCTTCATTTGTTGAATGTTGAGTTTTAAGCCAGCTTTTTTATTCTCCTCGTTGACTTTCATCATGAGGCTCTTTAGTCCTTCTTTGCTTTCTGCCATAAGAGTGGTGTCATCTGCATATCTGAGGTTATTGATATTTCCCCTGGCAATCTTGATTCCAGCTTGTGCTCTATCCAGCCTAGCATTTTGTATGATGTACTCTGCATATAAGTTAAATAAGCAGGGTGACAATCTACAGCCTTGATGTACTTCTTTCCCAATTTTGAACCAGTCTGTTGTTCCATGTCCAGTTCTAACTGTTGCTTCTTGACTTGCATACAGATTTTTCAGAAGGCAGGTCAGGTGGTCTGATATTCCCATCTCTTTAAGAATTTTCCACAGTTTGTTGTGATCCACACAGTCAAAGGCTTGAGAGTAGTCAATGAAGCTGAAGTAGATGTTTTTCTGGAACTCTCTTGCTTCTTCTATGATCCAACGGATGTTGGTAATTTGATCTCTGGTTCCTCTGCCTTTTCTAAATCCAGCTTGAACATATGAAAGTTTTTGGTTCATGTACTGTTGAAGCCTATCTTGAAGAATTTTGAGCATTACTTTGCTAGTGTGTGAGATGAGTGTAATTGTGCAGTAGTTTGAACATTCTTTGGCATTGCCCTTCTTAGGAATTGGAATGAAAACTGACCTTTTCCAGTCCTGTGGCCACTGCTGAGTTTTCCAAATTTGCTGGCATATGGAGTGCAGCACTTCAGCACCAGCATCTTTTAGGATTTGAAATAGCTCAGCTGGAATTCCATCACCTCCACTACCTTATCGTTGGGCAAAAATTATCCATACAAAGCCAATTTTATAATAATGTGTTGAACATCACATGCAATTTGTTGAATACTGCACTAAAAGTGAAAAACACAATAGCAGTCTGGATACAGAATGTAGTTCACCCTCATGATCACATGACTGACTGTATTGCAGGAAAATGGAAGGATGGTCGTAACTCAGGTCTCCAGGGAGTCCCTGGGAGGGGCCACCAAGTAAGCATCCTTGGCTTCATGCAGGAAAGATTTCAAGAATCATGGTGGTAAAGTGAAAGCAGGTTTATTGAGAGAGATACACATTCCATAGGCAGAATACAGTCCAACTCAGTCGATGACAGTGGGGTTGGAGGGGGGTTAGTTTTTTATGGGCTAGGTAATTTCATAGGCTAATAAGCGGGAGGAAGAATCCAATTATTTTAGGGAAGGAGGTGTTTCTAGGACTTGGGGTATTGCCCATTTTTCTCGTCTGCATTGGAGCTGTCATAATGCCTGTGGGCATGTTATTTAGCATATGATAATGTATCACAGTAGGCATATACTGAGGCCCAGGGTCTAGTAGGGGCTTCCCAGGTGGTGTAGTGGTAAAGAACCCACCCCTTATGCAGGAGATGTAAGAGATGTGGGTTCAATCCCTGGGTCAGGAAAATCCCCTGGAGTAGGAAATGGCAATCCACTCCAGTATTCTTTCCTGGAGAATCCCATGGACCGAGGAGCCTGGTGGGCTACAGTCCATGGGGTTGCAAAGAGTCAGACATGACTAAATGACTTAGAGCAGCAAGGTCTACTGGACGTTGAATCTTCTACCATCTTGGGTCTCATAGTTTCTAACCAGTTTTTGTTGTATCTTTGATGGCTATGTCATTCTTTTAATGGTTGTGCCCTGCCCCTTCCTTCCTTCTAAACTGGGAGCTGTGGTTTGCTGCCCAGCATTAGGACACAGTACCTACTGCATGTTGTCAGCACAGGAAAAGCTCAAAATTCAAAATTTGAATTTTGGTTTTT